GCGAGGAGAGCCCCGGGAGGAGGCTCTCAGAGGGGCCTGTAGGTAGAACCACGAGCCCGTAGAAACACCGCGCGAGTAACACGCGAACCTCCAGAGGTCCGCGGGGGCTGCTTGCATCGGCGCTGCGCCCCCCCGGCGGCGCGTCCTCTGGCGCCGCCTCCTGGTGCCGCCAGGGTGGCGCCATGGACCACCCGAGAAATCCGCGGACCTCCGAAAATGTATGTTCACGCCTACGTTGGAGTACCATGTGGCACCTGCTCTAGAGCAGGAACATTTCGTAGACGGATCTGCCCTTTCTCCGACCTTGCACCGCGCTGAACGCAACGGCCACGCTGTCCACAGACGCATCCGCCCCGAAAGTGTCTATAGACGTCACGGCACCCAATGTGTCCATAGACGCGTTTCGCCAGCGCGCGAGAGCGGTATATTCGGCATCGGCCCCAGAGGTTGGCCTCCTAGAAGCCGGTCGCCTTGGCCCTCCCACGCCTACGCTTTGATCCGAGAACTCCACCCGGACGACCCCGACGACGACGACGACGACGACTCAGACGTCAGTGTGCGGTCAGAAACAGACGCCCCCAGAATCGAATCGACAAGTCGGATCGGCGATCGAAATGAATCGGATCGGCGGAAATCGGCAGCGGAGTCGGGAAAAGTCGAATCGGCGGGAATCGGCAGGGTAGTGGGCCTCCATGGAGGAATCGGCGTCCAAATCGGAACCTGAAATCGAACCGAATCGGAGTCGGAGGCCACCGAAATCGAATCGAATCGAATCGGAGGAATCGAGATGAGCCCTGGAGGAGGAGGAGGAGGAGGAGGAGGAGGAGGAGGAGGAGGAGGAGGAGGAGGAGCAGGAGGAGGAGGAGGAGGAGGAGGAGAGAGGAGGAGGAGGAGGAGGAGGAGGAGGAGGAGGAGGGAGGAGCGAGGAGGAGGAGGATCAGAGGACAGCGTGCCGCAGCGGCGGCCCCGAGCGACGCGCAGGGCCCCTGCGGGCGGGTTTCCTGCGTGCCCCTGGGATCTGCGCGGGGCGGGAGGCGCGGCTGGGCGCTCGGGACGTGGGCGCTCGGGGACATCGGGGGGAGCGGACAGCGCGGAATCACCCCCCCCCAACAAGAAAGAAGGACCCCTATTAGGGGGCATGGACCTTGGCAACTGGAGCCAAAACATATTTCCCAAACGAGGGTAAACGGTGGAGGATGCGCATGCCACAGGGCCTTGTGCTCGTTAGGGGCGCGCTAGAATGCCAAGGGCTGTCTGGCAGGGTTTCTGCAAGTCTTCTCAGGGCCTGCCACCGCCCCTCTCGCCGCGTCCTTCTTTTTACCATGGCCGCAAACCATACACACGAAAGAAGATGGCGGGCAAAACAACCAGATTGAGAAGGTCAGCATCAGACTGGGCTGCGCCGGACTGGCGCCGGATTGGAATTCACAGGAGACTGATGCCGGATTGGCCCCGGCGCCTCAATCCAACCTGACCGGCTGGCCTTCGACTACCCAGCCTAACCCTTGGGGAGTGGGCCTAAGGTAGGAGGGCGCAAACGTCAGGAATAAAGGGGGTCGTTTCTGCAGACGTGTCGAGACCAAACCGCCCAGGAGTAGAAGAACCAAAACCACATCGGCAGCCGAGTCGGGAGAAGTCGACTCGGCAGACGTCGGCGGGCTTGTAGGCCTCCATCGAGAACTCGGAGTCCAACTCGGAGTCCGAAATCGGGTCTAATCGGAATCGGAAGTCGAATCGAATCGGAGGAATCGAAATGAACCCTGTTCGAGGTGCGGACCCAAACGACCCCGACGACGACGACTCAGAGGTAGACGTTTTCTTCTCCGCGAGGGGGGACCGTGCGGCTGCGCAAGGCTCGGAATCCCGCGCAGGTGGCGTGCTCCCCTAGCGCCGCCCAACGACCTCTTCCTCCTCCTGCTCCTGTCCTCCACCTGCTGTCCAACATCTCCTCCTCATCCTCGCTCTTCGCTCCTCGCTCCTCGCTCCTCCTCCTCCTCCTCCTCCTCCTCCTCCTCCTCCTCCTCCTCCTCCTCCTCCTCCTCCTCCTCCCCTCCCCCTCCCCCTCCCCCTCCCCTCCTCTGCTCCTCCTCCTCCTCCTCCTCCTCCTCCTCCTCCTCCTCCTCCTCCTCCTCCTCCTCCTCCTCCTCCTCCTCCTCCTCCCCCGCCTCCTCCACTTTCAGGTGGCAGTCAGGCTCCGCGAGGCCGACCCTGAATGTGCGCACCATCACTATCGACGGGTGAAACGTTGCGGAAGGCGGACAAAAACCAGGACAGCGCAGCGGCAGCAGCGGAGAGGGAGTCATCCCTCTCTGGCAGATGCAAGACACGGGTGAGAGGGCCGCCGCTTCACGGCACAGACAGCGCTCCCGCAGCCGCAGCGCAGCCCACCTCCCCTGCCAGGGCGGAGAAGGAGCCTCCAGAGGGCAGGTGCGCTCGGCCGGGCGCCTGGCGGGACTGTGCCGCGCCGCAGCGCGCCTCGCGGCGGCAGTGGCCACCTCGCGTCGCTCTAGATCGGCCTGAACCACATGTGTGTTACCCGCTCGCTCAGCGACAACTTGTCTTCCCAGCCGCCGAAGGTCACCATGCAGTCGTGATCGTCCCAGTGGTGGTGCGCAGTCGTGTTGTACAGGCCCGGGTACCACACCGCCACGTGCTCGTCGAGCTGCGTCATCCCCCCAGTCCAGGATAGCTCCTCCCACGCAGAGGTGGCCAGCGTGAGGCCGTAGAGGCTGCTCGTCGACTGGGCAGCCTGCACCGTCTCCATCCCGCCGAAGACCATCAGGCTCTCCTGCACGGTGTCCATGAAGACCATGCTTTCGGAGGAGCAAACAACGGCATACACATCATTTCTGTGAGGTCCGCGCGGGTTCCTTGGATCGGCGCGCGCCAGGGGCAGCGCCAGAGGCTCCACCAAGAAGAGGGCCCCACGCCGATGCGAGAAATCCGCGCGGAGCTCCGAGAAGTCATGTTCATGCCGTTTTTGGTTCCTCGAGCTGTGGGACCACCGCGCGGGCGCCGCGACGCCCGCGCTGCTGGAGACCAGCTCGCGCCACGAGTTTTCCCTGGCATCGTAGACCCACAGGTCGCCCAGCACCTTTTTGGACGCCCGAAACGGGTATAGGAAAATGGGTGCGATGCCCAACATCAAATGTTGCCCAAAACCGACAGTGGCCTCTGATGGGCAGGCGGCCTTCTGTCTCAGATGGGCAAAATCCGCGGCGACACCGGCAGCGAGTCCTGCCCTAACAGGAACTACTTTCGGCCTTAGTGCCCATTATTTCTCGATCGTCCCGAACCTCCGTCGGCAAGTCGGCACCGCCGGTGATGCCGCCGCTGACGAACATCTTCTCCTGCGCCGGGCCCCACGCCGCCGCGTGGTAGTAGCGGCTCGCGGGCGCCGCCCCAGAGGGCAACAGCAGGGACCACGCCTGCGCAGCGGCATCGTAGCGCCATAGCTCCTTTAGCGCCTGGTAGTGGTCGTCGGAGCCCCCGAACACGAGCATGGTGGAGCTGGCCTCGTCGAAGACGGCAGTGTGGCCGTACCGCCCGCTGGGCCTCGTGCTCCCGACCTCTACGACGGACCAGTGGCCGACGAGGCTCTCTCCCGAGTGGACGTCGCTGCCCTCGAAGCTCAAGCTGTGCAACTCCTCTGGGAAACCGAGGTCGTCCATGCCCCCGAAGACCAGCAGCTGGCTCCCGCCCTCCCACAGCGCCAGGGAAGGCGCTACCCGCCCCGAAGGCGCAGCCCCGGTGGTGGCGCAGTGGACCCAGCTCCGCTCAACGACCCTGCTCGGCGACACGCAACCCAGAACCCCCTCGAGCAGGAGGCCACATGCGAACCCTAGCCCACCACCCCAAGATTTGCAAGGGCGGAGGTGGGGTGCCTTTCGTTCGGGACCTCCCGAGCGAAGTGACCCCCACCTCACTCCTTAGCCATCGTGGGGTGGTGGGGTGGGGTTTGCATGTGGCCCCCTACTCGAGTCATAGAAAGATCACGGCGGGATTTTTGTTTCGCTATTCTGGCCCTCCAGGGGCCTTTACTGGGACTCGGGACCGTCCAAAAACGATTAAGGACGAAAGGCCGGCCCCGGGGGATGAATGGGTCGAGACCTCTTTGGGTCGACGTCATCAACAAATCATGGCGTCGGGGGTCTGGGAAGAGTGGCCCTGAGCAAGAGTTACCGCTGGTGCGCGGACTGAAGGGCGCAGGGTGGCCACATTCAAGCACGCAGTCCGCCGCTATCGCACCGCGCTCTCAGCGATCGGGGAGACCCTGGTAGGCCCGCACCATAAAGGTCACTCCGGCGAAGGGCCACTCTTACGCCTGTAGAGAAAGAAAACCTGCATAAACATAAACTTTTGGCCCTCTGCGCGGATTTCCTGGATCTGCGCTGGACCCCCCGCCCTGAAGCGCGGATCGCGCCAGGGGTTGGCGCCGGAGGCGCCGCCGGGGGGCGAGGGCGCGGATCCAGGGAATCCGCGGGGAGCGCCACACATTCATGTGCATGGTGTGTATCTTCTCTTCTTTCGGAGATGGACAGACCCCCCTTTAGCACAACGTGGTTTAGTGAAAACGACCTGAGGCCCAAACCTGGCGGGCGCAAACCTGGAAAGTGACGGCCACGGCGCCCTCTCGAGAACCGAAAACGGACAATTCACTAATCGACGTGTCACTGTTGGGGGTTCTGTGCACCCCCGAATCTTCTCTTCTTCCAGCTCTGACGTCTGGTCGACCTGTACGCGTGGACGTCGCTGAGGGAGCCCGACGGGCCCATGCCGCCATAGACCAGGACCACGCCCGATGGACCGGCCGCCAGCGGGAGAGCGGCCCCCCGGCAGCGGGGAGGCCCACGCCCTTCGCGCGGCCCCTGGGGGGGCCCAGGCCCAGGAGCGCGCAGGGCCGCGCTGCTCGGGGGTCCATGCAGGCCCGGGTCGGCGAGGCATCCCCAGGCCCGGGTCGGCGAGGCTTCCCAGAGATCCGAGGATGCATGGTGCTTTCGCTCCGGCCAGCGTCTTTTCCTGGACTTCGGCCTCCGAGGCCCGCCATCGGGCTCGGGGGCTATCGGGTCGAAACGCCACCCCCGGGAAGGGGTCGGGACCTCTGGGGCCGCGGATTGAAGCAATCATCTTGGCGGACGCCTGGGTTTGCAAGATCCTGCAAGATCTTGCTGGATCCTGCGCCCAAGACCAGGTCAGTGCGACCCTGACTCTGCAGGATCCTGTAAACTCCCGCGATCTGGCTGATCCCCGTTTGCATTGACACCGGCCTCTCGCGCGGCGGAGAGGAGGAGACGGGGGAGGAGGAAAGGGAGGAGGAGAGGGAGGAAGGGGAGGGGGAGGGGGAGGGGGAGAAGGAGGAGGAGGAGGAGGAGGAGGAGGAGGAGGAGGAGGAGGAGGAGGAGCAGGAGGAGGAGGAGGTGAAGGAGGAGGAGGTGGAGGAGGAGGAGGAGGCCGCGGCGGGGGAGGAAGAGGGGGAGGGGGAGGGGGAGGAAGAGGAGGAGGAGGAGGAGGAGGAGGAGGAGGATGAGGAGGAGGAGGAGGAGGAAATGGAGGAGAAGGAGGAGGAGGCGCAGGAGGAAAGGGCGGAGGAGGAGGAGCAGGACTGGACTGGACTGGACTCCTGGAGTTCGGTCGGTTGTGGGGTTACTCGCGGCTCAACTGGATTGAAACCTGGCCTCGCGAAAGAACTCTGAGTGGCGTACCCTTCGGGCCGCCTTCCTCTCTACGGCCTCTGCGCTGGAGCCGCACTGCCCCATTAGGGGCAACCCCCGATATGGAACGCAGCCTAGAGGCGCCCCCTGGGGACCGATGAATTGCATTCGATCCCCGTGGCCAGAGAGTGCACTGGTCACCAAATTACCAAAAAATGCGTGACTCTAGAAATTTTTAGAGTCACGCAAAATTTGGTGGCGACTGTGGGGCCACAGGGAGAGAAACACGGAACGCTTCGTGGTCACCTCACCTGCGTTGCAAGTAGGACCACTATTACGGAAAACTGCTTCTTCCTCCACGTGACTGGCCTCCCTTCCCTCTTTTACCTCGGCCCCTCACCGACGGGCGAAGCTGCGCCGTGGGGATCGGCGGGAGGTTGGGGCCGTAGGCCGTGGAGATTGGGAGCACATTCTCATTCTCGACAGGCTCGTGTCTGCACAGAATATCCGCTGGCACTCGACCGAGTGCAATTAACTCTCTAAGGCGCTTGCTAGACTGTAAACTGGCAAGCTCGGGCCTCGAATCACTCCGTCTCATTCTCAGGCTTTCCGCAGCTGTCCCAGAAGCTTGCTCGCGTCTCTCTCGAGTGGGCCTCTGGGTGCAGGACCGATCAGGCGCTCTCCCCCGATACTCAGGATGGCTGTGCGCACGGCGGGAATGAGCTGGCGACCGACTTCGTGATCCGAATCGATTGCGATGATGAGGCGTCCTTTGTTCTCCTGACCCGATCCCTCTTTCTTGTTCCGCTTCCACTGCCAGTGGAGGACGACCTCTCCCACCTCCATCATCTTGAGACCCTTGAGAGATGTCTCGTAGATCTCGCGAAGCGCCTTGCCCCATTCCGTCCCCTGCTTGGCTAGAAAAATTAAGGCGATCATGAAGATGTGGAGATGACGGGGCCCGCGACTTTTGAAGTCCAAAACCTCGCCCTGATTCTTGTTCTCGGCTTGTTCGCTCGAGATCTCCTGGTAGCGCTTGCCCGCGCCCCCCATCTGGTCCGTAACTCCGTCCTCTACGAAGTCGAGCGCGTAGGTGGTGTAGACGGTGGCCGTCAACTCTGCGATGGCCCTGCTGTCCGCCAGCACTAAGCGAGCGATGATGAGTACGAGCTGCCCGATGATCTCCTGGTCTCCTTTGCCGGCTTGTAGCTTGCCTTTGACGTCCTTGGCCAAACGATCTCGGCTGACTTCTCCCCCAGCACGATGGCGCACCTGAAGCCAATCTGGCGTCTCCAGTTCCATCTCTGTCGATCGGTTCGCTATCGGGATGAAGGGATGGCCGCACTTCTCGAGGAAGATGGCTACGGAGATGACAACAGGGATCCCCAGTGTCGGCGGCATGATACTCACATACTCACACAGGACGCACTTGAGTGACTTCATGGGTGTCTCGGGGAGGAGCGTCGTCGTACCTCGAGCGGGACAGTGACCTTGGAGCATTGCTCGCTGGAGATGTTTATAAGCGTTACCTTGGCACCCAAAGACTCGACGACACACGATGCAGGAGTTCGTGGGGGTCAGCACCGAGCTGAGGTTTCTGACGAAGTGGATCCTCCTCATATGGTTAAGCACATCTCGTCTGGTTCGGACATCGCACCCGCGAATATTTTTGCCTGTCTCCGTGTCAAGCTGCCAATCACACTGCCACTGCGAAGGCGCCTCGTCTGGTGGAGGCTCGACGCAACGGGCGCGAATCTCTGCGAAATCGAGCTGGAGAAGCTCCGTCACTACGTCCTGGTCTAACAGCCTCCCAGGGTTCTGACTCACGAACTCGCAGACGTCCCCGCCCGAATCCAGGTCCTCAGCGGCCCTCAGGAAGTCCTTCTGGAACCTACGGAGCCACGGAGAAGCCTCCGGTCCAGGAGCGCCCCCATGAAGATGTCCACCCCGATCTCCAGTAACCTCCAAGGACCCGAACAGCAGGCAGAGCTCCTGGGAGTGCTTCTGGGGGTCCCTGGCCCAGCCCACGTACTAAATCAACCTACGAATCGTCATTTCGACGTCCGACTCGGGGATCCCCCAGCGGGCTAAGATTTGTTTCGTCGCCATCGTTTCATGTGGTCTCCGCCCGTCCGTGTCGCTCGGCCTTGCATGGCCCGTCGTCCGAATCTAGCGATCTGTCCGTCAAGCTTCCGGTAGTGACTGGGGGTGAGGAGGAGCGGCTCGATGCCCGAGAGGGCTGCGTTCTGGACGCGGCTCAGGAAGAGAGTGCGAAGCCAACGATGCGGCAATGAAAGGGACCATGCACGGCCGAGCGAATACAAATAATCTGCGCAAGCGGCACATCTGCGGTTCACCTCCGTCTCAACGGATTGATTGGCATGAAGCATCGGTCCCAGATAACGCACGGCGTCTTTGAAAAGTCCTGAAAGAAATTCTGGATGTGAACGAGCCCATAGTTTGCAAGTAGCGGCCCCTGGTCCGTGGAAGTACATCTGGAGTTCCTGCTTCGTCGGATTTCTAGCATATCCCACCTCCATCAGAGCGCGGTCGAGAGAATCATCGATGTCCTTCATGGTGTCGAAAAAATCTTTGATCGAGATGGGTACAGGAACCAAATGCATTTGAAATGCGTCATCTGCGTAAGTGCAGCCCCCCACGTGCGCCCTCAAGTCTCGCCACCTGGCCGCCAACTGATTAGCGAGGGCGTCCCAATGCTGGATCGAATACTTCCATTTAGTCAGTGGTCGTGAGAAAGTGCCCCTAAATAACTGAACAACATATGGCTCCCCCATCAAAACGCCTTCGCCTGTCTTCAGAGTCACATGGCCCTCCACGGTTTCAAGGGTGATCGTGCTCATCTTAAATCGCTGGATGCACAAGTCAATGTTCTCGGGCTTCGCGTGCATGTGGACAGTCTGCTCGAGCTCGTCCCACCTGCCACTGGCGAACGCGTTGCTAAGGTCCCTGTAACTAATGGCGAAGCAATGTCCTGCCTGTCGAAGTCTCCAACCAGTGATCTGATTGACAAAAAATTGCATCTTCTCTGCGCTTTCCTTTGACAAAGCCGTGTTCAAACAGTTTTTGCGGGATGTAGGGCATGTCGTGGCAGTAAGTCTTGCCCGTGGCGTCCATCACGTGGACGGTGCGTCTTCCCTTCGGTCCTGGGGCGGCGCTCTTCCGCAATTGGGCTCCGTGGCTGTGGTGCCACTGGATCGGAGTTATGTTCGTGGAGCGCATCTGGCGAAAAAGGCAGCCTCCAACAATGATTGAAACTGCTGCGTGCCAGGCAAGCTATGATCCCACCCAAGCCCATAACCCTCGGCCTTCATATTTAGCAGGGGCTGCAAACCTATCAGCCAGAGTTCTGCGGGAGGTGTTCCAGGTGGCACAGCCCGACGCTTATTCGCCCGTCCGAAGTATTTTTTCACTCGCCAGAGGTCATCCTGGGCAAGAGCACAATCTTCAGCGTTGATGTAGCAGGGGCCAGGGTCAGGAAATTCGTCGAGAATGCTCTGGACTGCGGTCGGGGTCGCACTCATGCCTCCTTCGCAGCCAGGCTTCTTCCAGTAGTTCGTGAGCTCCTCCTCCGTAAGAGCACTGCCACGTATCAGTCGTCCATCCCGTTTCTTGGCTCCGTAGCGACAAGCTCCAGCAAGTCGAGTGAGTCGCATACCTTCAGAAAGTTGTCGGCGTTCCCAGGCCTCGTCTATCTCGGTGAGTAAGGCTTCTGGTCGTTGCCGTTGGAGGCGCTGCCGCTGGAGCTTGAGCTGTTGCAAGATCTCCTTGAGCTGGGTCTCGCGCGCCACGAGAGTCTCCTCATCTGCCTCTGCACGCTGAAGTCGGAGTTCAGCCCGTCGCTTGAGTAGCTGTTCGCGTTCTTCCTTGGCCTGCTGGTAGGTGGTGTCGTTCGTGATCTTGGCCTCGAAGAACTGTTGCCCCGCGGTGATGAGAGTATCCTGAATGAAATTGAAAGTCTCGTCGGGGCGTCCCCGCGTGAGCAATTCACGCCACGTGTCCTCTTCCTCCTGCAAACGGGAGGTAACAGCTCTCAAAAAATTCGGGTCGAAGCGATCCTTTGCGTACAGCTTCCATCATGGCAGCCATGTTCCAGCGGAGTCTCTCAGTCTGAATTCGCGGAGTAAAATCTTTGATGCAGCTCATTTCCGTGTAAACGGGGATGTGGTCACGTGGTGGTCGACCTCGGTAAGCTTGGATGGGAAGCTCCCAATCGATAGAGTGGGTGGCATGCCGTCACAAAATCTGTCATACCCAGTGGCGCACATATGGAATCAATGCAACCCTGACCGCCCGCATTCCCAAAGAAAGTGGACTGAATATCAGGACTT